GAAATTTCGCTTGGTTTATCAAACCGCTTGTGTGGTGTATTTCGCTCTTAAGTTTTAGCGATTTCGGCATCCGAATTCGCTTTGAATCCGAATTCGCTTTGAATTTTTCTAGGTTTACGACCATAGAATCATAGTAGATATGTATGTAGGAAAAAACCTGCGAGTGATGAAATATTAAAAAATGATGACGCGAACAAATAAAAAAATCCTTCATTCATCATTTAACTAAACTACAATTTCAATGCAAATTTAGTTGGTTTTAAATGCATGTAATAAGTAGATTCGTGTTTGGTTGAGCAGGGTATGAACCACACGTTCACAGGTGTTTGAACATATGTATGTAAGTATTTATGTATGGAAATGTTGCACCCAACCACGAGAACCCCCGCAACCTTTGCCACCGGAAGAAGTTGGCGTGCAAAGGTACATGTGTTTGTTCGTACGCGGGAGTCTCTCGTCAAGCTGGTATTCAAATTAAGTACTTATAGATTATACATACATATGTATGTACACATATACCGTACCTTTGTTACAAGAGTGTCATAATACAAATTTATGTTTATTTTATTTAAGTATGTAGAAGTGACAGTCACTTCTTCTTCTGTGTTTTGTAAAAATTTCACAGCCGTATCGATTAAGAACAGTTCCTTAGAAGAAAATGTGTCTTCATTTTTACCATGGGAGCGTATTTAGTCTGTGAACTTTGAATCCGTTTTTATTCGCGGTTTTGATTTTCTGGATTTTGAGCCTCTTGCCGCTAAAGTGCGATATGTATGTACATACACACATAAATATGTATTGCTTTAACCTCTGCATTTGTGCATCGTACCGTTACAATTCGTTTTCCTCTAATGTATGAATGTGTTTATGTACATACATATGTATGTAAGTATGTATATGCTGGTGTGAATTAATTGATGCAGGTGTATGTGCGTAACAGCGTAACTGAATGTAAGTTTGATTCTGTTATTAGCAACTTGGGAAAAAATTAATTTTACCACCACGAGTAAACATACATATGTACATAGTGATTCTTCTTTGGTTAAATTTAGAATAGGGGCATTCAGGCGCTAATGCGAAATGCAATTGCAATGGTGCAAAATGTGAAAATGCATAATTTTATCAACAAAATCTCGTATCAGGCATTGCACATTAGGGCGGGTTGATTTGTATGGATGAAAAAAAAATTAAAAATCGTATAGCAAAAACGTAATCTACATTAAATTCTAAGAAAATTCTCTGAAAAAACCATGGGTCTAAAATCAAACCCTAATCCGCGCCTCTCGACTTGAAAATTTTTTTCCTCTTTTTTCGCTAAAATTATTTTCTTTTTTTGAAATACATATATTATGTTTTATTATAATATATTATAGTTTATGCAATACAGGTTTTGTTTTGAGGCTAATCAAAATATTCAATTATCAAAAAAGCAGTTGAACCCCAATTTGCATCTCCTCTGATTGCGTACTTTTAATGAAAACAAATTTTGAGTGTAGAAAAAATATAAAGTGCAAAAGAACTACCTTACTAAATAATTTTATTCAGAAAATTCGATTTCTTTTTGGAAAAACCTATTTTTTCTAACATTTATTTTTTTTGGCAAAGGCGGCCATATAAATTTTCAAGTCGAGAGGCGCGGATTAGGATTTTATTTTGGATACATGGTTTCTTCGGAGAATTTTCTTAGAATTTCATGTAGTTTACGTTTTTGCTATACGATTAAAAAAAAAAAAAATCAACCCGCCCTATTGCACATGCTTTTGGTTGATAAAGAGTGAAATGCAATGATTGAGGCGAGATTGTCGACTGTGTTGATAAAATTTCGCAATTTCGAATTTCGCACCGGCGCAATGTATTCGCATGAACGCCTGAATACCCCTAATGTATTGTACTCGTAGTTTTGTTATGTGGTTGGATGTCATACAAAAAAAATATATACATATGTAAATACATATGTACTTGCAAATGTACAACATAGAAATAAAACGACATGTTATATATTGAGTTTGAAATGATTACTAATTTGAAATAAGATTTGGTAGTGAGTAAATAAGATTTGTGGTAGTAAATACGTTCTGTTCTTTAAAATTCTGAAATCCGCTTTTGTTTTTATTAACAGTAATATGATGGTATAATTTGTTCCGTTATTAATTATATACCTTTAAGTAGCTCGGCAACGCACAGTGCGGTATTTCAACAATTTAGATGGACAAAATTGCTTAAACAAATTTTTCCTGAATTCTAAGATTTTTACATACATATTAGCATATAAAATATTTTCGTAAGTTTTGTTATTCAACTTCAACTTTTGCTTCAAAGTTCAAGCCAAGTGGAACAAATCGGCAAAGCATTGTGAGCGATTTATGTCCAATAAGGCCATTTGACTTCAAGAACACCTTTGATGAACCGAAAGTACCTGATCTAGGGAATCGCTTGCTCGCGTAGGAGATGAGTAACGAGCAATCCTGAATTGTTTATCCTAGTCCTTGGAAAATCCTTTGAAACTGGACAATAATGTTATCTACGTAGCTGTCACTCACACTTACTTTCTGGGAAAATTGCCCAATAAACATTGGGCTGGTTAACAATTCGAAAATGATTGAAAACCCAATCTTTTTATCGAGTCTCACCTTCGATTACGAATGTGAAATAGGTTAGTGTTCGACTCGAGAACTAGGCCATTCTCCAGCAAAACGGAACCTTCGTTATCCAATGTATTTTACCTTCGTTATGAGTTCGAAAGCCAGCCCATTATCGAACTGAAATTTCAATNCTCACCTTCGATTACGAATGTGAAATAGGTTAGTGTTCGACTCGAGAACTAGGCCATTCTCCAGCAAAACGGAACCTTCGTTATCCAATGTATTTTACCTTCGTTATGAGTTCGAAAGCCAGCCCATTATCGAACTGAAATTTCAATGAGAGAGAGTGATTGTCTTATATTTCCCCTCGAGAATGAGCTGGATTTCACTTCCTCTCTTGTTACTATGGTTTTCATTTTTTTTTTAAACCCTTCTCGTGTGTATTTCCAATATACTATGACCGTTGGAAAACTATGGTTGGTTATGAGTTCGCTCTAAGTTCGATATGCATATTGGATATCGAAGGTCATTTTCGAACGTTCGTCAAAATGTTTATAAGGTTTTGTTGAAAACAACTACACTAAAAACAAGTGATTAAAAAAAGGTTTTAAAGCAAGCTTTTATTAATCGCTAATAAAAAAGTCAATTCGAGTCACGCACCAACTAACGGCAAAATTTTTGTGCAGTTATTTCTTCGCATTCAAGTACATACATTTTAAATATGAGCCAAATCGGACCATAAATCCGGGGTTTCAAAATGTCTCGACAGCTGCGCCTCTTAGCTGATTAATTTATCATTCATATTGCATTGTTATCGTTACTTATTTGTTTTTGTTTTTTTTTTTAATTGCCTTTTTCGTGCTTCCCATTTGAGCGAACTCAAAGCTCCATAGCAGTGAATAAATCGTGATGGAAAATTAGTTAGCTTTCCGAATTTCAGCAACCCACACTTTTTTATAATTCCCAATAATTCGCAAAAATGTAATAGCTAATCTGAAAAAACGTATGGTGGGTATATCGGAAATCAGCATCCCAAGTATTCTCTAAAAATAGGCATATTTAAATGATTTTGTCAACCGAACTTGTACTACACGACACACTGTGCAACACTTCGAAAGTTTTAAGTTGATTAATTACAATTTTGTCTAAAGTGTTGAAAAACTAACCAGCTTATGCCATACCCAAATTTGTTGGAATATATTTTTTATTGAAAAAGTCTGTTAAAGAATAAGTTAGTGGGTTTTTTTTTATAAGCTCAGAAGCGTGTTCAATACAAAACTTTGTACTGCAAAATGTGTGCACATTGATTTCATACATATTTACGTAAATCTATCAAACAAAAGAAAGAAAAACGATAGTAGTGATGATGCGAAAACGCATGAAAGAAGAATACTTTGGTAGCGCAGCTAAAGAATTCTGCTATAAAAGAATACCAAGTAGAACAATTGGCATCAGTAGCTCCCAAGCACTTCTTTGTAAGAAAACGTCTCAAAAGCGTTCGATTTGCTTCAGATTTGAAAAAGGATATATAATTAGAGGCGTTTTTTTTTTTTTGTTTTTTATAATGAAGCGGGTAAGCGGAGTCCCAAATTTTGCATTGCTGCTAATTAAAAAATCAAAATTGTTTTTGTTTCTTAGCCAATCGGATTGCTTTTGTTTTGTATGTCGTACGCGAGTGTTATTAGTCTTCGCCAACCTTCATTGAAATATTTACCGCTCAGCAGTGTTAGACAATTTGGAAACGATAACACTCGAATTCCTTCGAATCAGTACTTGGCACCACAGAGCGGAAGGAACTTGCATTACAAGGCTGTGAGCGGAGCGATGAGCTCGGCGCGATTTGAGCACCATAATATTGCAGCAGCAGCACATATACCCATTGTCCGGCAAGATTTTATAACCGATGCAAGCGGAAACTATAATTTTGGGTAACATGTCGCAATGATTTGGGTTGGGGTATACAAGTATGTATGTATGTATGTATATATGTATTTATATGATACAAATAGATTTGAAACGGCGAACGGAATCCAAAGAGATGAAACCGGTGATACTCACAAGAGACCACACAGCGCACTGAACGTACAAGGATCGTATTCTTATACAGGAGACGATGGTCGTACATATACCGTTAATTATAAGGCGGATGAGAATGGATTCCATGCCGAAGGGGATCATTTACCAACATCGCCACCAGTGCACGATCAAAATGTTGGTGGAGGTTATCGGATACACGGCAGTGCCACATCCGGTAGCCGAGACTACCAAAGTAACAAAAACGCTTATTCAACATCCAGCCGATATCTGCCGCCTCAACGCTATTAACCAAAGCCGCATTAGGTACAAATGCAATGAAATAACATATTGAAGGATATATTGAAGGATATAGGTTAAAGTGAAGTGTCTAATAAAAGACAAATAAAACTGTAAGCAGTCTATGAAATATTGGCAAAGGATGGATAGTGCAATTAAATAATTTAGACAGTCGAATATATGTGTGTACATTTCGAGGGCTTATATTTAATACACGCTATCTGCAATTTTCACAAAAACTACTTTGTGATGTTAGACTTACCTCTCATCACCGATGTTAATCCTAAATTTGCAATTCAATAGTAAACTCTTATGACAAGTGTTAATAAAAGGTCAGCATTAATACCAGTTAAGTTTTAGGTCGATTTTTATATCAGAATCTCATTTTTGGGAAAAGTGCAGATAGAGGGTATTCAATATAAGCCCTCGATTTGTATTGTATGTTTATAATGCTTATATGAAACTTCGTGCGTTTAAATGTTGGTTAATATCACTTTCATACCTGCTTCTTCATCGTGTCAGTCAATTCGTCGATGCATTCCTTTCGTTCAAACCTTTCGAATTTGAAGCTGTTGGAGCGATAAAGCTCATTATCCTCGTGACGTCTGTTTCTGCACAAACGACGCATTATTATATTACCACTGCTTCCGCCACCAATGCGCGGGCTGTTTTAAATAATAAAATAAGAATATAGTGTGATATCTTATTGCCTTTTAGAAAAAAGTTCACATAGAAAAATAAAAGTGAATATTTTTTTTCGCACTCATAAATTTTTTTTTTTGCTTGTTTGACAGGGATTATCCTCGAAATTCGTCATTAAATGAAGGTAGCTAGAATTTTATGGCGTCGCGACCGGAAAAATTTCTAATGATAATTATTTTTATCGTCGAAATAAACTCTGCCTGTTGGAGGCGACTGCCATCAAGGCAAAATTTATTTGTATGTTGCACGGCTCTGGGTCACCACTATTAGCAGTAGTATGCACCCCTTAGCCGCTACTCTATGGCGATATGTAGCCAATTTTTAGGGGTTACTATGTATGTACAATGGGCAAACAAAGGAAACAATTGGGGCCATTACAAGTGGACTTGAACTGGAAGAGGGCTTACTCTCTTCATGCTTTATGAAATCTAAGGCATTTATCTGGCATACCTTTGTAAACATGTGCACTACATTTGTGCATACACCTGCATGTATGTACATACATATATGTACGAGTATTAAATATATAGTATGTAAGAAGGTAGACAAAGGTGGTTTTGTGAACTAGATTTGAGTGTCTTAGAAAGTGAAAATATAACACTAGAAGAGAAGGATCCTTTAAGGAAACAACACATATGCGTGCGTGTACATATGCACGTATGGCTTTTGAAACCAAAGCATGCATTCATGGGTTTCCACACACATAGAGAAAGTGCGAGCATTTATATAAATTTTACAGTTGACTTAGAAACAAACCATTCAACAGAGAAAGCCCCATTTTACTTAAACATTTCTAACTTTAACGATCTGGCGAAGAAATG